GATTCCATCTTGCCTAAGGCAATCTAAAAATTCAATGCAATACCCATCAAATTACCAGCAACATTCTTCTCAGACCTAGAAAAAAAAACACAGGAATTCATATGGAAGCACAAACGTCCAAGAATAGCCAGAACAATCCTCAGCAAAAAAACAAAAAAACAAGGCAGGTGGTATTACACTACCAGACTTCAAACTTTACTATAAGGCTACAATCATCAAAAGAGCTTGGTATTGATATAGGAACAGGCATATAGATCAATGGAATAGAATTGAGATCCCAGAAGCAAAACCTCAGTTTCTCAACCAACTCATCTTTGACAAAGCCTCCACCACCTACCACTGGGGAGAGGAGAACCTATTCAGTAAATGGTGCTGGGAAAACTGGCTAACCACATGCAGAAGATTGAAACAGGACCCCTATCTATCCCCATGCACAAAGGTTAATTCCAAATGGTTCAGAGACCTAAATCTAAAATATCAAACCATAAGAACCTTAGAAAATGAAGGAAATACCCTCATGGAAATCGGAACTGGCATCCAATTCCTGAACAAAACCCCAAACCCACAGCTCATAAGAGAGAAGATCGACAAGTGGGACCTTATTAAACGGACAGGCTTCTGCAAAGTGAAAGAAACAATCAAGAGAGGAGGGAGACAGTCTACACTGGGAAAAAATATTTTCCAACACCAGGTCTGACAAAGGTTTAACATCCTGGATCTACAAGGAACTAAAAGAAAAAACAAACAACCCCATTATAAAATGGGCAAAAGATAGGAACAGACACTTCACAAGGAAGACATCCAAGCAGCCAACAAACACATGAAGAAATTTTCAACCTCACTAATCATCAGGGAGATGCAAATCAAAACCACACTGATATATCACCTAACCCCAGTCAGAAAGGCAATTATCAACAAGTCAAAAAATAACGGATGCTGGAGAGGGTGTGGCGAAAAGGGAACACTTCTACACTGTTGGTGGGTGTGTAAACTAGTGCAACCTCTGTGGAAAGCAGTGTGGTGATTACTGAAAGCTCTAAATACCAACCTCTCATATGACCCCACAATCTCCCTATTGGGAATATATCCTGAAGAACACAAATCACTCCATAAAAAAGATACCTGCACACGTATGTTTATCGCAGCATTGTTCACAATAGCAAGAACATGGAAACAACCATGCTGCCTGTCAAAAGAGGACTGAATTTTAAAAAATGTGGTACATATACACGATGGAATACTACACAGCCATAAAAAATAACAAAATCATGAATTTCACAGCAACCTGGATGGAACTAGAGTCTATAATACTGAGTGACATCTCACAGAAACAAAGATCCGAGTATCACATA